AGGGAGGCCGGGGCGGTGGAGGGGGGCTGGAAGTGGGGGAAGGAGGGGTACGGGTGGGGGGGTACGGCCAGGAATTCTCCCAGGAGGTGGGAGCGCATGGCGTACTTGTGAGGAAGGAGCTGCTGGCGGGGGAGGCAGGGGCTGGGTGGGGGCCCCGGCAGGCAGGCGGGTGGCGCGTGGCCCTCCGGGATTGGGGCACAGGGACGTGGTTGATGTGGCGGGACTCCCAGAGGCGCCGCCTGTGGCTCCTGTCTCCGGGAGGTTGGGGGGGTGCCACAGTCGGGTGGAGGGGAGCGGGAGTGGGGCATATCCAATTAGCCCACCAGGCAGTGGGGTGTGGAGGGCGGCCTGTGCCCACGCTTGCGCCAAGGAGGGGTGGCCCTGACTGGTGACGACCCGGGCCAGGGAAACCACAAAGGCAGTGGCTCAGGAAGGGGGTGCCCAGGGCGGTGGAGGGAGGTCTGGGGACTGAGAGTCCAAGTAGGGGGACCGCTGAGTTTTCTGTCTCCCAGGGTCCTTTCCCCTAAACACGCGGTCGGTCCTGCTGCCCCCGAGCCTCAAACAGAAGGAATTCCAAATCTCTGCACCCCGCCCACTGCTCTTGGCCGCAGTCTTTGCCTCCCCCCAGGGAGAGCGGGTGTCCGTGTGTGAGGGAGGAGGGTGGGAAGGCCGGGATGCGGGCCGTGACTCCCAGGTTCTGGCAGGTGCAGGCACGTGCGTGTGTGGACTCCATAAGCCATGGGCAGGGCTCTGCGCACCCGGGAGCCAGACTCCAGGGCACTCACGCCGTGCCTTCCAGACGCCCGGGGCTCAGAGCCACAGCGCTCTCACAAAAAGTCAGCCTCACACGAGAATTCGGCAGAGAACTCTCACACTTGGGGATTCAAGTTCTTGCCAAGTCAGCTCACGTGGAGCCAGTCGGACCTGGAGGACGACCTGTAACTGGAACACAGCCCCCAAAGTGGTCTCCTCGCTTGTGAGTGTGAGTTGCCTGCAAGCTGGTTTGGAAACACAAGCCTGCGAAGGGCTCCCTGCCCGCACCTGCGGGAGGCCAGCGGGGCAGGGAGCGAGCGAGCCCGTGGGTCTGGGAGGGAGGGGAGGTGGAGTCAGCTTTGCCCTGCGGATGCAAACACGCTGCTCTGTGCCCAGACAGACAGAGGAGCCCGGCCTCTGCCCTACAGCTGACAGAGTGCGTGCGAGGCTGCGCTCCTCAAAGCAGTGGGAAGCTGACACGTGAGACCAGCCGCCCAGCAGAAGCAGGACTTGCACTCCAAACACCACCACGGAGCAGCTCAAGGGCTGCCCCAGGACGCACAGGCGATGCCAGGCCAGACCGCACAGCGGCCTCTCAGCATGCCAGCGTCATTGTGCGGACTCTCGGGGGGAGAAACGGAACCCAGGCTGAGTGTCCTGGAGGAGAGCTCACCTGTCATGCGCAGAGGCTCTGAGTCACGAGCCACGTGTCCTGGGCCTCCCAGGACGATTCTGATGCCAACTGGTCGGCCCACATGTCACATGGGCCGGGGCCTGAAAGCAGGTGCCAAGGGCCATGGACGGAGAGCAGGGGGGCCCAAAGGGCCCCGCCGGACCACTGGGCTGATCCCGGTGACCAGAAAACCCACTCCTCTGGGCACGCCTGTCACAAAGGCACCAGCGCACCTGGCCGCACCTGTGCACCCGCCTCAGGCCCAAAATTTAAGGGGCACCAAAACAACACAGTAATCAAGGTAAAAAAATACCTAATGCAACATTTAAGAAAATAAAAATGACTGTCAAACCCACAGCGACAAAGTATCACGGGTCCATATGAAACAGGCCAGCGGGGTGGCGGGGTGGCGGGAGCCGGGGCAGGAGAGGCCCCCAGGGACCCCTGACGTGCGGGTGCCGGACCTGGTGCCTGCAGACTGTGTGTGTGTTATGCTTCCTAAGGAGTGAAAACCGAATGAAAAAGCTGGTGTGTGGCCGACGTCAGGTCGCCCTCCCCGTCACGGGTTGGTGAGGTGACTTCCAGATGCAAGAGCGACTGTAGCAGATGGGAAACGCAGGTGAAGAGCCCCGAGGAGAGGCCTGGCCCTGGCGGGGGAGGGCACGGGACCCGTGCGACCCAGCCGGCGGCGTGCAGCGCCGACCCCCTCACACGCAAGGGAGACCAGGCGCGGAGCACAGCGAAGCCCAAGCCGGTGAGGCTTCCTGAGCCGTGTTTGCGGCAGCGGGCCCGGTCCGCAAGAGTGCGGGCCGGGGGACCGGTCCCTCTGGGCGACGCCAAACACCCGCGGGAACCCAGAGAAGGCCCTGCTGGCGCCCCTCCGGGGTTCAGAGCCAACACGGGCTTTAGGTGCGCTGAAGGTGTAGGTGGGCGGACAGCGGGCCGAGCCGTGGGCGCAGACCCTCAGCAGGGGCAGGTGGGGGCTCGCTGCAGAATTCTCCCAACTTTGCTGTGGGCTTGAAAACATCCATGATAAAATATGGAAAGGTTCAAACAATAAAGAGGAAGGAAAGAGAAGACAGAACAGAGGGAGGACCTCTCAGTCCAGGCACCGCAGCCTTGAGGGGCACTGAAGCCATCTGAGGAGGCACACGCACACGCACACGCACACAGCTCACACACCCGCCCTGACTCAGTACCTTAAGAGCTCCCCTGTGGCCGTGATGTGAACTACAAGTTGAAAACTGTTGCAGTGACCCTCACCTTCCCCGGACACGGTGCCTCTGACCTTGCTCAAGGGCTGTGTGGACACCAAGGTCCAACACACGTCACGCACAGGCTCTGTGCTCCAGGCCTCATGTGTCCCTTGAATTGGATACAATTATAATTCCTGATTTAAAACAAGGAAACTGAGGCACCGGCAGCAGAAGGCGGGAATAAGCTGCGCACGGGGCCGAGGTGACGGTGTGAGAGAAGGCCAGTGACTCTGGCCCTGACCCCACCCTCCTTCGGCTCAGCCTCAGGGCCGGTCTGGGTCTAACTGCTCCAAGCCCACGGGCTTCTCCAGGGGGCCTCACCCGTGCCCTCAGCCAACACTCAGCAGATGGACCGTGAGCGGAAGAAGGGTGTGGCACGGGCAGGGGAGGCCGGAGGGGCCCTCATGAAGACGCCCAAGGTGGGGGAGTCAAGTCGCCTCAGGAGCCGAGTGGAAGGAGATTAACTCAAGGCCGCCAGGCCCCACCCAGGACGCTCGCCCGGGGACCAGACCTCCGCCTGGGCCAAGCCCCAGCCTCAGAGGTGTCCGCACGGCCGCCGGGCAGCAGGGCGCGCATCCCCAACGTCCTTAGCAGTGAAGAGGCTCAGGACCTGGGATGAGGGAGTGAGCCTGGGAACACAGATCCCCGCCCACAGCAGCAGGGGAGAGGCTCCTAGGAGCGGACCACGCCGAAATCTAAGTTTAATCCCGGTGACCCGACCTGAAACACTTCCGGCGCACCATCTCTCCCAGGCTGGAGAGGGCGTCTCTGCCCCAAGCGGGGCTTGCAGACCAGGTGTTCAGAGGAGCGGCCGCCGCATGGACCACGTGGGCGCCCTCAGAGGACTCACCCGAAACGCCGTGCCTTCCTCGATGATGGTCGGCAGCTGGGAGAGACAGATGTCGACGGCCAGGTCCCAGGCTTGCCTGTGGAGGGAACCATGACGCATTAGTGACGGCCCGCCTGACAGGGCCCTGACGGCGGAGCCACAGCCTCGGGGGCGGGCACCAGGAGCTGGCCGGCCTCGACCAGCCCACAGCCGCCTGTCCCCGTCCCCCGCGGCCCTCCCTGGGGATCGGCACCGTCCGGTGGCACACCACTCGCCCAGCTAGGCGGCGCTCCCGTGCTGGGAAGGGCGCGCTCAGCTGCGCCCCAGCT